CGTGTAGTGGGTCACCCGCTGACTCGCAGGAGTGAACTGGTCAACTCCTCCATCCTGCAAGTCAGCACCACTCACCAAGTTCGTAGAGAACGAGGGGAGGTAAAGACCTGACAGGGAGCCAGACGGGGCCGCTGGACACGGTAGCACAGTGGAGAAGTGGGCAAGGACAGGACCCCCAGAGGGGTCTGCCAGGGAGACCGCAACCGGCCGACTGAGCGGCGTGAGGGTGGTGCGGTCTCGAAAGAAGGAGCGGGAAGCACCCGAGTCAAGGGTGAAGGTGTGGAAGACCGCAGTAGGCGCAGTACCAGAGAGAGCAGACTCACCAGCACTTGGAGCAGTAGACTCACGAGCACCTAGAGCAGCAGCCTCACCAGCACCTGGAGCAGGAGACGTACCAGCACCTAGAGCAGCAGCCTCACCAGTACCTAGAGCAGCAGACTGGATACCGGGGTCAGGCGGCACACACAGGTAACAGGCACCCTCAGCACTAGTAGGCAATGCATACATGGCAGTGAGGATAGCATCATAGTCAAGAGCATAGATATCTACCCTCTGCCTAAGCAGCTCCACCCAGTCGGGAAGCTCAGCCGTGTCGCCAAACTCTGTACGCCAGGCGTCGCTCAGACGGGCGAAGCAGCGGGACTCTGTGTGACCAAACGTCCTGCAAGGCTGACCAGTCCGAGCAGCAGTAGCAGTTTTAGCCGCAGTAGCAGCAGTAGCAGCAGTAGCAGCAGTAGCAGTAGTAGCCGCAGTAGCAGCAGTAGCAGCAGTAGCAGTAGTAGCAGTGCGGCCACCCCTACAACCCCAACTAGCGTACCACTCACGAAGCTGTTGGGGGGTGAGGGACTCACGGGGACGGCGTTGGAGCTGCATCTGGCCACACCAGGAGCAGCAGTAGCAGTAGAAAGAGCAGTAGCAGCAGGAGCAGCAGTAACAGCAGTACGGGCAGGGCAGTGCTCACCAGTGGCTAGAAGGGCAGGCGTACGACGGTAGCAACGGCGAGGCCGCTACCACTGCAGGGCGAGGGCTCCGCGGCAGCTGCAGGGGCGGCTGCTCCAGGGGCCAGGGGCGGCTGCTGCAGGGGCGGCTGCTCCAGGGGCCAGGGGCGGCTGCTGCAGGGGCGGCTGCTCCAGGGGCCAGGGGCGGCTGCTGCAGGGGCGGCTGCTCCAGGGGCCAGGGGCGGCGGCTGCAGGGGCGGCTGCTCCAGGGGCCAGGGGCGGCTGCAGAGGTCCAGGGGCGGCTGCTCCAGTGACCAGGGGCGGCTGCTGCAGGGGCGGCTGCTCCAGGGGCCAGGGGCGGCTGCTGCAGGGGCGGCTGCTCCAGGGGCCAGGGGCGGCTGCTGCAGGGGCGGCTGCTCCAGGGGCCAGGGGCGGCGGCTGCAGGGGCGGCTGCTCCAGGGGCCAGGGGCGGCTGCAGAGGTCCATGGGCGGCTGCTGCAGGGGCGGCTGCTCCAATGACCAGGGGCGGCTGCTGCAGGGGCGGCTGCTCCAGGGGCCAGAGGCGGCTGCTGCAGAGGCGGCTGCTCCAAGGGCCAGGGGCGGCTGCTGCAGGGGCGGCCGCTCCAGGGGCCAGGGGCAGCTGCTGCAGGGGCGGCTGCTCGAGGGGCCAGGGGCGGCTGCTGCAGGGGCGGCTGCTCCAGGGGCCAGAGGCGGCTGCTCCAGGGGCCAGAGGCGGCTGCAGAGGTCCAGGGGCGGCTGCTGCAGGGGCGGCTGCAGTAAGTAGCAGCAGCGGCAGCAAGTAGAAGCAGCTGCAGCAAGTAGAAGAGCTGCTGCAGCAAGTAGCAGCAGCGGCAGCAAGTAGAAGAGCTGCTGCAGCAAATAGCAGCAGCGGCAGCAAGTAGAAGAGCTGCTGCAGCAAATAGCAGCAGCAGTAGAGCAGCAGCACAGGCGTAGTGCAGCGTGCAGGCCTGGCGTGGGCTGTACTGGCCGCGCGCGGGCCTGACGTGGCCTGTACGGGCTGCGCGAATGCCTAGCGCGGACTGTACGGGCCGCTCTCGGGCCTGACGTGGCCTGTACGGGCTGCGCTAGCGCCTAGCGCTGACTGTACGGGCCGCGCGCGGGCCTAACGTAGGCTAAACGGGCCGCGCGCGGGCGTGGCGCGGGCTGTACGGGCGGCGCGAAGGCCAGACGGGGGCTGTACGGGCTGCTCGCGAGCTACGCGCGACAGGACAGGGCAGGGCCGTGGGGCAGCGAAAATCGATGCACCTAAGGGCGCATTTCGGGCAGAAAAAAGGCAGAGAACGCGATTCGGGCAGGAACACGGAAGGTTTAACGGTGGGCCCTAAAAAAATTCGTCCTAGGCTAGGAACGTCCTAGCTCTTAATACCATGTGAGAGTAGTATGAAGGTGTGTGAGGATTAGGGCAAGGAGGGGGATACAAAGAAGTGTCGAGCAAAGTTCTGTACCCCTAATGCTAAACCCACTACAGCCTAGATAACATTAAACATATAATTTGACATTTTGCGCCAACCGTGGTCCACGTGGCAGAGTTACTCGTCCTCTGCGGGAGGGGCGTGGCTCAGAGTTACGTTCTTGTGGAGGAGCCAATCAGAACAATCGGGTGCTCTGACACAGGCGGGAAGAACACCAGATCTGGGGTGTGGCGACTAGATCTAGAGAAGTTGAGGCGGGAAACGGGGATGCAGTCAGAGGGGGTGGTGCTCAAGTCCATATGGCTGAGTCCCAAAATGCTTGAAGAGCTCCCTCTTGTATGTCATTTCTTGTTGACATCTTGAAGCTTCAACACATTTCTCTTGAGGTCATCAGCCGTGCTTGCTTCCATACCTTCAACCCAACATGGCACGAAACATTGCTTCTTTCTGAAATACATACACACACGCGCAGGGTTGAACCTGCGAAAAATATTCCGCACTCTGCACGCCCAGGTCATTTTCGAGATAGAAGAAACTCTGAATCGGACTTTCGTTTCAGAGCATCGTTATACTCCGCTCCAGAGGGTCACATTCATACTTATTATCTCCCCGAAACAACTCCGAACGCGAGACTCTGTTCAGCACAACATTCTCCTGGGTTCGTTGGCAGTCCATCCCATTCTCTACGAGTCGGTTTTTATTTCGCGCGTCTTAAATAAGAGATTCAGGACAGGTTCTGCGAATCATGTGAAGCATACAGTTCTCTGAAACAGGTACACCGTGATGGAGGTCGATGGAGGTACGGGTAATTTTCTTAGTGCAGCTTTCGAGGACAATGAGACATTTGTAGATCTTCCAGACTGCCAACTGCCCGATGCCCCGATTGATCTAACCGGGGACCGCGATTGGGACACGGAATTCGCGCCGGCAGTTGGGGAAGAAGTGTTCGTGGATGCTCCGGCGGAATTTCCGTCCTCGAACCCTCAAGTCGGGGTCGAGGGAAACGATGCTGAGGGCGCAATTCCGAGGGGCGGCCAGCGTTCGGGGGTGTGGATTAACCTCGCGGAAGACGAGGAGGACCCCCACCGAGCCTTGTGGGAGGAGGAATTGGAGGGAAATGCTAGCCGAAGCCCGACCTCTGAAGATAACGCCACCACTCGAAATCTTTTTGGGGATGCGTCCCGCGGCAATGTCAACGGCCCAGAATCACAGGCATCACCACATGGAAGTGCACATGGGCTCGAATCGCAGGCTGCGCCCAAAGGAAATGTAGAGGGGCAAGAATCACAGGCTGCGCCACAGGGAAATGCAGAGGGTCGGGAATCACATGCTGCGTCTCAGAGAAATGCAGATGGGCCAGCATCAGCTACGTAGGAGTCAGTTCGGAAACAGGCCGACATGGGCAGCAGGAAGCGCCGCGCAAAGACCCCTTTCGATTATCTCGCGCCGAAAACCAGAAAGGAATACATCCTATATTGGCAGCACTACAAGTGGTGGGTCATCTTGTTCATGTCAACGCTGCCCAAGACAGAGGTTCCAAAGAAGGAGCGTTTAAATACCGTTACACCGGACGAGGTTGGACTCCATTTGGGGGACGACAAAAAGCAGGCGTGGTCAAGTGTGGAACCCGAGGAATCCTATCTGCACGGGCCCCATGTTTCTGGATGGAGGATTCAGAGATACCTGCAGTACATGGCAGACGAAACCCCGGCGCAGGCCGAAATGATGCGGAGAGGCGAAGAAGTGGTGGCTGGGAAGGAGCCCATCCCTAGTACGACGAGCATGATGAAGGCAAAGATGAGCGCCTTGGGCTTCCTCGGCAGACTGGAATCTCGTCTCTACAACTACCCTAAGTCCGAAGCGGATGAGTACATCAGCGAAGCGCGGGAGTACATGAAGCTCAAGATGAAACAGCTGCACGACAAGCAGGTTGCGTGAGTATTGACACACCTTTTGGGCACTCAGTTCATCGAAATTTCACTGCCTAATCTTGTTCCATGTGGATCACTGCAGAGAGGGCACAGATCAGCACAGAGGCTCGCTGGACGATTGCTACACGGCGGAGCAGTACGCGGATCTGCACGAAAAGCACCTTCTGAGGGACATGAAAACGTTGTACTAGAGGGCCAGGGTTGCACTAGCAGAAAGTCTCTGGCGGTGTTTTGCGGTGCAGGTGATGATTCAGCTCGCACACCAAATGTTGGGGAGGGGATGCAGCATTCGTGCTCTTCGTTTCGCCAACATGTTTGTCCGGCATACGCGTAGCAGCACGGCCGTCCCCGATCGCCAGAAGGATCTCCCTGTAATTGTTTTCGCCTCTCGAAAATCCAAGACGAATTCGACTAACAGGCTGACCCACCAATTCTTGGCCCGGCACATGAACTTCGCGCTCTGCGGTGTTGGTGGCCTTTTTTTGTGGATTCATTTCATCTACGACCTCGTGCCGATTCGATTCGGCACGGACATCGTCCCGCCCCTGGTCTTCACCGACCCACTCCGGTGGTCGAAGAAGCACATCTTTTTCCCATTGAGGCACGGAAGGGAACAACTGCAGGAAGAGCTTCCGTACGTGACTCACAACAACTGGATTAATTGTGTTATGAACGACGTAGCTAAACCGCCCTGGAAGATGAGCAAAAAGACCCACGCGTTTCGCCGGTCGGGAGCCCAAGGCCTGAGCGACGATCGCTGTCCTGACCCCGACATCAACGCCCTCGGAGGCTGGGAGCAGGGCGAGATGCGAAAATCCTACGTCGTGGGAATTCCGTTCTTGCCTGTGTTGATGATGGCCGGATTCAGTGGGGAACCGGGAGATTACTACATTGGCAGAGCGCACGCCGAGCTTGACGACCCTAAGGAGTGGGAGGAGTTGCAGGCCCTCTTCAAGAAGTTCATCTTCCCGCGCCTCGAATCTCAGTTGGCAGAGGTATCCCTTAAGTAGCCAGCTTGTAGCTGTTGCCTGATTTTGTTACACGTGTCAGAGCTCACTCTTCTCTCTGTCCTATCATCTCAGGTCGATAAGTACAACGAAGACAATCCAGAGAAGATTCACCTCTCTGGCAGAAGTTTTTTGGAGGCTCTTGCGAACCCTGGGCGAGACATCGTGGCACAGGACCTTGCCATGTGGTGGTTCTATTGCCCCGATCACGACAAGCTGTTCGACGGTACAAGACGGCCATGCGAGTGCCAGCGCCACCCGTACACGGACATGAACCCGCTCTGCCGCCACCCACTGTTTCAGAAGTGGGCCATCAAAGTTGCAATCATGCACAAGAATTGCATTGAACTTCGTGAAGCCCGGGGCAGCTCTGCAGCCGCTGTAAGTACAATAGTTCTCTGATCGGTACTTCCATTTCGGCAAATATTCTCAATGTTTGAAAACCTTCGTCCGTTTCCCGCAGGATGCGATCTACAAGCTCAACTCTACGCGGAAGTACCAGAAGATCCTCGTAGAGAACAACTTGTTCCGGATGGAATGTGGTCAGAAGGATCACGAGATTGGAGAGCTGAAGAACAGGCTCGCTGCAAGCGAAGAGAGGGAGAAAAAAACAGCCGCTGAACTCGAGCAGCTCAAACAGGAGCTGGCTGCTCTAAAGGCGCATGCCCCGACCAACGCTAACGCAGAGGCTGCAGGTCCAGGGACGAGCGCGTCGGCAAAGGTGGAAGCTGGTTCCGATGCTCCGAAGCCCGAGAAGCCACAAGTCACCACTCCGGTGCGGGCATTTTTCGACCTTGTCGTTAAACCCTGGCGCGACTCTAAGACGGTCGCAGAGGCATGGGAACACTGGGTGAAGGTCACTTTTTTTATGGACGGAAAGACTCTCTCCCAGCTGTCGTCCGAAAAGGATTTCTACCCCACTTTCTCGTATATTGAGAAGGGAAAAAAGGATGATACTGACGACAAAAAAATGAAGCGGATGAGGAACGTGATGCTCACCGTCGAGAAGTACAGGGCTAATGAATCGGAGGAGGCCACCCGCGCAGCCATTGCGAAGATCCAGAAGGACGTGGTGGATCGGAGTTCGATCAGCGCTCTGGCAGACGGCGTGATTTTCGGAAAGGAGCCCCCACCGAAGAGGGATAATTCCGGCAAGGATAAGACGACAGAGAACAAACGCCGCACGGTCGGGTACCTCTTCTTCGCTGCCAAGATGGAAGGTGACGCGTGGGGAGAGACGATGTTTGGGAAAGATGATTGGAAGCAGATCAAGATCGAGGAGCCAAAGATGCTGGCTAAACTGAAGAAGTAGTTTCCCAAGTTCTTTGTATCCATGTTTGCATGCTCGTCCTTTCTTGGACCTCTTTTCTACTTCTCTTGACTTAGATCCCTCTTTTCCTTCCCTTCTCTTCTACTGTGCTCTATGCCGACTCTTCGTTTAGAGTTACATTTGTGTCTTCGGAACATCGGGTTATAGAGCGGGTTTTGGGTTACTATTTTTACCATCTATTCCTACACTCCTACTTTGGAAACTAAGCATTACAGAGACTTTAGTACAGCGTACAGCATCTATAAACTAGCAGGATTGTGCTCGAAACCGTCAATCAGTTTATAGTGCTAAACAACTAGTTGAAAATCATGGGGCGCAATATATGCAGAGCAACATTCACTCTCGGAAAAGCAACCGATTATACAACATTACGCTACACAGCTCTAGCAAGCTCGAATGTGCGCTCGCACCCCGGAGTATTCGTCTAAGTGAAGGGAATGTCTCGAAAATCAAAGCAAGTTGCATACTACAATTCAAGGATAGTGGAAGATCAGGGTTGCACTCGGGTCTGGTGTAACGTCAACGATTGAAAAAGGCAAGCCATTTCTCTGTTTCTAGAGGAATTCCAGAGTACACTAGTTACTGGAATACAATATTTCTCGAAAAACCATGCAAGGAAAACAACCTTGTCCAGATGAAATGTCACAATGTCTCGAAAATAGTGCATCGAAGACACTATAGTACATAGCTCTATCGGTATATACCAGCTGGAACAAAAGTGTCAAGAAAAGAAGCGTGCACCAGACTATACAACAGTTTTGTAGCAGATTCGAATTTGTACCCCCTCCTGCATCACTCGTTGCCTCCCGCATTGCCCTTCCGCCGTCCCCCTTTTGTGGGCTGGGGAAATTGGAGCATCCTACCCTGATTATCGTAAAGACTCTGGTTTGCGTGAGAGCACTCGCACCAGTACACCAGCACCCTCGAAACCACCTTAGCCATTTCGATAGCCTCTGCCTCCCCGGGCTCGGGATCCACAAGGCCGAGAATAGCCTTGGTCAGTACCACTTCCCACTCCGCCTTCTCGGGCGTTAGGTTCTTCACGGATTTTAAAGTCCACACTCCGAGCCGAGCAGTAGAGGTTGCTCGACTCGCAAGGCTTGCCTCGTTGAGTGTGCCACGAGCCGCCTCATCCGCACCCTCCGCCCAGTCCTGGTGGGGAATGCCGATGGAGGCACACCACAGGGTGTAAAGGGTTGCAGCCACTCCCGCTGCATAGACCGCGGGCTTGACACCTCCGGGGGGCGACACCTGCCCAACCCCTCCGTGTACCAGGGTTTGTCCAATCCCTGTGCAAACGGCCACCTGGTAATGCGCGCCGTCCTTCACCCGTGCATATGTCTTGTTCATGACGTTTTCGAAGCTGCACAGGAGAGGTGGATACACGGTTAGTGTGGGAAAACGGGAAAATGTACTATATCTAGCTAATTCGAATCGAATAATCACTTCTCGAACTTGTCGAGGTTCAATTCGTTCATAACAGTCCAGACACCCGTCGGCAGTTCACGCGCGAAATCGAGGTGGACCGCCCACAAGCCAAGCTCGGCAGGATCCAAGCCGTAATGGACCATGTCGGTGTCGGGGAAGTAGGTCATCCAACAGACGGCCACTGTGAAATCGCGTAGTTTCCTCTCCTTGAAGCTACCCATGTTCCTCTTCACACCTCCGACGGTTTGCTCCGAGTTGTAGCGCACGTACACCACTTCCCCCTTGTTCTTCTTTTCGCGTGTGGTAAGCCCACTCGATCTGAAATGCTTTGTTTCCCCCCACCGCTTCCCTAGCTCGTCTGGTAGCACGTCCGTTCTTCGCTGTGCCACCTCCCCCGTCGCCTCTCCCAACGTTGGTTGAACATTCTGATTTCCCGACACATTTTCACCGACACATTCCTCTGACTCAGCCGCCCCCAAAGACCCCTCAGCCGCGCCGAAGTTCATTCCCGTCTGGTCAATGCGAGGCCTTTTCGATGGCGGTTGAGTCTCTAAAACTCCATAACCTGTCAGATGTTCTGAACCCTCCCCCTCCTCCTCCATGTAAACTACTTGCAGTGGATCTTCGGGAACGAGCGAAAGCACCTTATGAATCCCGACGCACCCTTCTCCTTCCGCCTCTCCTCCCTGCCGTTGCTCCGCTGCCCCTTCCTCATCCTCTTCCGCAATCCGTCGCCTCTCGTTTTCCATTTTCTGTGTTTCTGCCTCTAACTCCATTTGTTGCCTCTTCTCTTCCTCCTTTGTGGCTTCCTCCAACCGTGCAATACGCTCGATCTCCTCCAGGGCTTTCTGACGCTCTATTTCGAGGTCTCTTTTTCGCTTTGCTGCCTCCAACCGCTTTGTTTCAGCGACCTTCGCAATCTGCTCACGCTTCGCTTCTAGCTCCACCTCCCTCTGTTGCCGCCTCCTTTCCATCGCCTTCGCGTGCTCCTCCCTCTGCCGCTTCTCCTCCTTTTCGCGTTCTGCCTTCCTCGCCTCCTCCCTCTTCCGCTCCTCCTCGTCCTTCTGCCGCTTCTCCTCCTTTTCGCGTTCCGCCTTCCTCGCCTCCTCCCTCTTCCGCTCCTCCTCGTCCTTCTGCCGCTTCTCCTCCTTTTCGCGTTCCGCCTTCCTCGCCTCCTCCCTCTTCCGCTCCTCCTCGTCCTTCTGCCGCTTCTCCTCCTGTTCGCGTTCCGCCTTCCTCGCCTCCTCCCTCTTCCGCTCCTCCTCGTCCTTCTGCCGCTTCTCCTCCTGTTCGCGTTCCGCCTTCCTCGCCTCCTCCCTCTTCCGCTCCTCCTCGTCCTTCTGCCGCTTCTCCTCCTGTTCGCGTTCCGCCTTCCTCGCCTCCTCCCTCTTCCGCTCCTCCTCGTCCTTCTGCCGCTTCTCCTCCTGTTCGCGTTCCGCCTTCCTCGCCTCCTCCCTCTTCCGCTCCTCCTCGTCCTTCTGCCGCTTCTCCTCCTGTTCGCGTTCCGCCTTCCTCGCCTCCTCCCTCTTCCGCTCCTCCTCGTCCTTCTGCCGCTTCTCCTCCTTTTCGCGTTCCGCCTTCCTCGCCTCCTCCCTCTTCCGCTCCTCCTCGTCCTTCTGCCGCTTCTCCTCCTTTTCGCGTTCCGCCTTCAAGGCCTCCTCCCTCTTCCGCTTCTCCTCGTCCTTCTACCGCTTCTCCTCCTTTTCGCGTTCCGCCTTCCTCGCCTCCTCCCTCTTCCGCTCCTCCTCGTCCTTCTGCCGCTTCGCCTCCTTTTCGCGTTCCGCCTTCCTCGCCTCCTCCCTCTTCCGCTCCTCCTCGTCCCTCTGCCGCTTCTCCTCCTTTTCGCGTTCCGCCTTCCTCGCCTCCTCCCTCTTCCGCTCCTCCTCGTCCCTCTGCCGCTTCTCCTCCTATTCGCGTTCCGCCTTCCTCGCCTCCTCCCTCTTCCGCTCCTCCTCGTCCTTCTGCCGCTTCTCCCCTTTTCGCGTTCCGCCTTCCTCGCCTCCTCCCTCTTCCGCTCCTCCTCGTCCTTCTGCCGCTTCTCCTCCTTTTCGCGTTCCGCCACTTCTCTTCCTTTTCGCGTTCCGCCTTCAAGGCCTCCTCCCTCTTCCGCTCCTTTTCGTCCTTCTGCCGCTTCTCCTCCTTTTCGCGTTCCGCCTTTCTCGCCTCCTCCCTCTTCCGCTCCTCCTCGTCCTTCTGCCGCTTCGCCTCCTTTTCGCGTTCCGCCTTCCTCGCCTCCTCCCTCTTCCGCTCCTCCTCGTCCCTCTGCCGCTTCTCCTCCTTTTCGCGTTCCGCCTTCCTCGCCTCCTCCCTCTTCCGCTCCTCCTCGTCCTTATGCCGCTTCTCCTCCTTTTCGCGTTCCACCTTCCTCGCCTCCTCCCTCTTCCGCTCCTCCTCGTCCTTCTACCGCTTCTCCTCCTTTTTGCGCTCCACCTTCCTCGCCTCCTCCCTCTTTCGCTCCTCCACTCTCCGCCGCTTCTCCTCCTTTTCGCGCTCCACCTTCCTTGCCTCTGCGACTGTACCCGCCGGTTGGTTTTCCGTCGCTCTCCCGCTGCTAACAGGCTCAGGCCGGTCCTCCACCCTCATATTTCCCAACCCCCTCTCAGGCCGCCTCTTCTTTGCAGCCGACGCTTGCGCCGTCTGAAGTGCTTGCTGCTTTCGCGCTTCGGCCGTCCTCCTCTCCTCGCTCTCCTTCTCTTTCTGCAATTTCTTTGCTGCGTACGTCTCTCTCCAGTTTCTCCTCACTAGTTCAGACAAGTCAACATCTGCCACACTAGCGCCCGCCTCACCCGCCTCACCAGCGTCACCCGCCTCACCCTCGGACGACGCGGCAAACCTTTCCATGACCCGTTGTGCTGCGGAGATTGGGATGTCCGGGGAATCTGCTTCAACCTGCGTTCGCGAAGGCTTTGGTGTGGCCTCTGCCCTGGCGGCGGGTGGATTTCGGACCTTGATGGGTCCAGTCAACCCTTTGAGCTTTGCTGACAGTCCTGTCAGAGCCTTCTGAATCTTGTTGAATGTCAGATTGTTTTGGTCGTCCGCAGTTCTGAGATCCTCCCACACTGTGTATACACTATTGTCAATAGCCGCTTGCAGGTGTTCCATGGAGCTGGATGTGATCGTGGCCTCCAGCGATGATTGCTCTATCACCTGCTCCACCACACTTTTCAGCTTCTCTCCAAAGGTCTCGAAAAACCCCACTAACTTTTCCTGCAATGCTCCCACTGCCGCTGTTGCAGCTGCGGCTCCCGCATCAGCTGCTGCCGCTCATGCTTCGGCGACAGACGCCGATAGAGTAGTACGCAATCGGGTTAGCTCGTCGCGTTCCCGGACCACCTCAGCCTTGAGCTCGTGGTATTCGTACGTTAGATCATCGTAGTCCTGCAAGTACCGCGTGTCCCAACCCTGCATCTGCAAACCAAACTCGCGAATCTCTGCCATGCAGTCGCTGAAACGAACACGTTGTTCCGACGAAGTCCTGGCCACGGATCTTGCCACCAACGTCAGACGCCGCATTAACTCTGCTGTGGTAGGCACCCTGCCGCCAGCCGCGATGCGGTCGCCAGCCTCCTCAAATCCTCGCTCCGTCTCCTCGAAAACCTGGGGCCCCGCATTCTCCAGTCCACGCAGTTGCGTCTCCACAGCCACCCATTCTCCATCCTCTAGTTCCTCTGCCTGCGCCACGGCAGGATTCTCTGCAGCACGTGGATGACGCCTCTGCATAGGGAGTGCACTTGCCGCACTCTCTAGTTCCTCCTCCACCCGTCCTCCCGCCTGTCTCTGCTGATTCTCCCTGTGTCGCAATCTCTCAATTCCCCATCCCACCCCACGCCAGACCTGATCCTCCGCCATTCTCTCACCCTGGCGCGTTCCACGCGCTTCACCCTCTCGCCTACCAGCTTGCCTTGACTGCTCGACCCTCCTATGGTCTCCCTCGCCGACCCTGTTCCGAGCTGTTTGATCATCACGCCGGCCACCTTCCCGCTGCATCACCGGTCTCGCTTCGCCAGTTTTCAACCCCGGTAAACCAACATCCGCTGCCCGACCAACAGTCGTCCCCTGATGCCCCTCGGTTGGCCCGACGCCAAGCACCACTTGCCGAGCTCCTTCCCCTACATCCCACCTCAACTGCATTTGAAAGACCCTCGCGCCCCTATGGCCCTCGCTCGGGTGACGAGTTCCATCCCCACGCCGCTGCCCCCCAGCACCTTGTTCATTCAACCCAGCAACCTCTCTCTGCCTTTCGTGCCTCTGAGGAGCGCCCCCCATCCCACGCCGCTCATTATCCACCCGTCGATCACCCTGACGCTCCAGACCCTGATGCTCACCGGCATCCTCCGCCTGTCTTGCCAGTAGCCTTTCGCGCTCAAGCCTTTGAAGCTCTTTCCTTCTGCGTTCGCTTTCGGTTCTCTTCCGTTCCCGTTCCTGCCTCTGGCGCTTCTCCTCTTGTTTGCGCTCAGCCCTCTTCTCCCTCTTTCGCTCTTCCTCGTCCCTCTTCCGCTACTCCTCCTTTTCGCGCTCCACCTTCTTCGCCCCCTCCCTCTTCCGCTCTTCATCCTCTCTCTGCCGCTTCTCCTCCAGTTCGCGCTCAGCCTTCCTCACCTCCTCCCTCTTCCGCTCTTCCTCGTCCCTCTGTCGCTTCTCCTCCTTTTCGCGCTCCACCCTCCTCGCCTCCTCCCTCTTCCGCTCTTCATCCTCCCTCTGTCGCTTCTCCTCCTTTTCGCGCTCCACCCTCCTCGCCTCTTCCCTCTTCCGCTCTTCATCCTCCCTCTGGCGCTTCTCCTCCTGTTCGCGCTCAGCCCTCTTCTCCCTCTTCCGCTCTTCCTCGTCCCTCTTCCGCTGCTCCTCCTTTTCGCGCTCCACCTTCTTCGCCTCTTCCCTCTTCCGCTCTTCATCCTCTCTCTGCCGCTTCTCCTCCAGTTCGCGCTCAGCCTTCCTCACCTCCTCCCTCTTCCGCTCTTCCTCGTCCCTCTGTCGCTTCTCCTCCCTTTCGCGCTCCACCCTCCTCGCCTCCTCCCTCTTCCGCTCTTCATCCTCCCTCTGTCGCTTCTCCTCCTTTTCGCTCTCCACCCTCCTCGCCTCTTCCCTCTTCCGCTCTTCATCCTCCCTCTGGCGCTTCTCCTCCTGTTCGCGCTCAGCCCTCTTCTCCCTCTTCCGCTCTTCCTTGTCCCTCTTCCGCTGCTCCTCCTTTTCGCGCTCCACCTTCTTCGCCTCTTCCCTCTTCCGCTCTTCATCCTCTCTCTGCCGCTTCTCCTCCAGTTCGCGCTCAGCCTTCCTCACCTCCTCCCTCTTCCGCTCTTCCTCGTCCCTCTGTCGCTTCTCCTCCCTTTCGCGCTCCACCCTCCTCGCCTCCTCCCTCTTCCGCTCTTCCTCCTCCCTCTGGCGCTTCTCCTCCTGTTCGCGCTCAGCCTTCTCCTCCTCCCTCTTCCGCTCTTCCTCGTCCTTCTGCCGCTTCTCCTCCTGTTCGCGCGCCACCTTTTTCTCCTCCCACTTCCGCTCTTCCTCGTCCCTCTGTCGCTTCTCCTCCTTTTCGCGCTCCACCCTGCTCGCCTCCTCCCTCTGCCGCTCTTCATCCTCTCTCTGGCGCTTCTCCTCCTGTTCGCGCTCAGCCTTCTTCTCCTCCCTCTTCCGCTCTTCCTCCTCCCTCTGTCGCTTCTCCTCCTGTTCGCGCTCAGCCTTCTTCTCCTCCTCCCTCTTCCGCTCTTCCTCCTTCTGCCGCTTCTCCTCCTGTTCGCGCTCAGCCTTCTTCTCCTCCTCCCTCTTCCGCTCTTCCTCCTTCTGCCGCTTCTCCTCCTGTTCGCGCTCAGCCTTCTCCTCCTCCCTCTTCCGCTCTTCCTCCTCCCTCTGCCGCTTCTCCTCCACTTTCCTCTCTTCCTCCCTCTCATTTTCTTCCTCCCTCTTCCGCTCCCGTTCCTCCCTCTCCCTGTCCCCCTCCATCGCACGCTCCTCTCGCTCCTCGTCCTCGAGCCTCATACGCTTCTGTTCCACCCTCTGATTCGCCTCTTCCCCCTCGCGTGCTTCCCGCCCCTGATCATACCTCCTCTTTGTTCTTGCCTCCCGCCTCTGATACACCACCCTATTCTCGCGTTCCGCTCTCTGAACCTCTGCATCCAATTCGCCTACGACATTCGGACTCCCTTGCCTCATGTCCATACCCTGCCCCTGCTCCTGTTCATCATTCTCGACCGGGCGGTGCACTGCCTCAAAACCCATTGCTAACTCCTCCATCCTCTCCCCCTCCCCCCTCTGTTGTAGGGCCTCCGATCCGCGACGCTCGGTCTTATCCTCTGGTGCCCTCTGCTGCGCCTCCCTCATTCCACGCAAGATCTCGCGCGCACTCCTCCTCTGGAAATGTGGTTCCTCTCTATCCATCATCTGACGCTCCCCATCCGTTACGCTCTGATGCTCGTTGGCCAGACCTATTCGTGCGCCCTCAGCAAGCATGGCCCCCAACGCGACTATTTCCGCGTCAATAACGGGCGGGGCACCCGTGTCCTCAGCAGCGTCCCCAACGTGCCCCAGGTTGTCCACCTCTCCCGCACTCTCCTCATCACGAGCCGCCAGTTTGTCAAAATACTCAGCGCAGCTGGTCACTATGTCCCGGAATATATCCTCTCGCCGATAGTGTGGTTTTCCAAGAACCCTAAATTTATCGTCTCGATCATGCTGTAAGAGAATCGAGTCAAAATGATCGAGCAACTTACGCCACTGGTACGCTACATGAGAACCACTCCCGACCTCTCTCGAGGAGACCATTGAAGTCAACTTCTGCATGAAAATGAAGTGAGCAGGTTAGCACTTGTCCTGTTTGGAGTTCCGAAAAAAATATATAAGTTTGCACCGTAAACTTACTCCCGCACTGTCGAGCCTCCACCCGCTCGTAATCCGTCTCCTGATGTCGCGGAATGTTTCCTGCTCCCCCGAGTCTAGGATTGTTTCTCCTCTAGAATACTCCGTCAAGAGCTGCACCTCCAGCCATCTGTTCAACATGTGATTCTCCGACAAAATTAAGTTCTGCTCTGCCGGAGCGTCATCAAGCACATGTGATGAGCGACAGTAGCTAAATCTTACTTGACAACTTGTAGGGCGAGGTCGCCGTGCTTGTGTGCTGGAGAAGTCGACTTGGGGTCGTAATGCAGAGGACGCGTCGCAACCGGAAGATTCGGGTGGTCGGCCAGACTGTCGGGCCGGACAAGCAAGAAAAGGCTACAGCGCGCTCCAGGTTCGGCAGTCATGCTGCATGGGGTGGTGGGGCGAAAGGTTAGCCAGCGCGTAAAAGCTCAAAACATCGAACAGCACATGTATTTCCCGAGCAGTAAATATTGATACCAAAACCTGTAAAATTCGAGCTCACCGCGACTAGAGCGGGAAGACGGCGAGTTGCTTGCCAAGCACACCATCGAGTCTGCCTGGACCCATGGGTTCGAAAGGTTGTTTCGCCCGGGCCTCGTTGACCTTACTCATGGGGATGATTACAACTCTCGAAAGCTGCTCCGCGGTCAGCTTCTCCCTTGCAATCATCCTGCAAGAGACAACACACGGAGCATTCTGAGAACAGGCCAGCGCTACACAACACATCCGCATTCGCGGAACTCTTTCTAAAAACAGAGATCTAAACGCCCTTCGAAAACCGATTGCCTCCGTTGAGCAGAGCGTTGGAAACCAGTTCTCGGAATATGGGTAAGACGTTGGAGCGCCCAGAGCGTTTTTTGCTCGATCGCTACTTGTACTCTACACGTGACAGTCTGTAAATCTCGAAAATTAACATCACTGGCCGAGCTTCACGCCTACGAGGGCATCTTACACCATAGCAAAGTTGAGCATATTCTCGGTCCATTCCCCACGCTTGTGTCGCATGTTCTCAAACTCCAAACAAGAGAGGCGCACACACAAGCCAGCAGCCTCTACTTCTATCGAAGGCTCCATTGACTAAGTGGAGGAAGCAGAGAGGCTGCGATGAAAGGAAGAAGCTGGACAAAAACTGAAAGAGAAGAAACCAAATGAGAAAATGACCTCCGTTGGGCATTTATACCCGCCCCCCCTCCGACCTGAGCCTAAACTTTGAGGTCGTGTTCAACTATTTGACCTTACAAGGTTGTGGCGACAAAAATGTTGCACGTAACTGTCAAACTTATATGCTATAGTCTATCTAGGCTGTAGTGGGGTAAACACTAAGGGGTATGGTTTCCTAGGGTTTTATACTTGTACCCTTCACATTCCTTAGTCAATCATTCCTCATTCTTCACATGGTATAGAGCGGGTTCCCTAGTGGGACCGTTTCTTCCAAGGGCCCACCTTCGAAAGTTTTTTTTTAAGCCTGCCCTACACGCGCTTCGCGTCCTGCCCGAAAATTTCACGGCCCCTTAGTGGCCTGCCCCTTAACGGCCCCTTAGTGGCCCCTTCGCGGCCCCCTTAGCAGCCCCCTTCACGGCCCCTTCACGGCCCCTTCGCGGCCCCTTAGCGGCCCCTTCGCTGCCCCTTAGCGGCCCCCTTCGCGGCCCCTTAGCGGCCCCCTTCGCGGCCCCTTCGCTGCCCCTTAGCGGCGCCCTTCGCGGCCCCTTCGCGGCCCCTTCGCGGCCCCTTAGCGGCCCCTATCAGAAACAAGAAGTGATGAACTAGAAACATGTGGGAGTACAAGTATGAAACCCTAGAGAAATGTACCCCCTAAAGGCTAACCCACTGTAGCCTACACAGCAGTAACATATATAATGTTTGACACACCCCCATAGGCTAAGTGGGGGAGAGCAAGGGGTCACAGGACCAGTCAAGAAAGACAAAGCAAGCTCATGGTGGATCACAACGTCACCACACACTCTGAGCACAAGCAAAGGGCCACAAGGCCAGTTCACGTGCAGAGGCATATATGCAACACAAACAATACAGTGATCTCGACCTAGCAAAGCAAACAAGTAGACATATATATATATATATATATATATATATATCTATAGAGAGATCAAAGTACAGGCAAACCCTACAGCAAGTGAGGAAAAGTGGGCACAAGCCCCAGCATAGTGCAGAAGCGCTGATGATCACCAGACTGAAGTGCCTTGGTGAATATATCAGCGGTGTTGGTCTGAGTGGCCACGTAACGCAGACGAAGCTGACCACGCTGCTGCAGCTCTCGAGCCAGGAAGTAACGCAGAGCGATGTGCTTCGTTCTGTGCTCCAGTCTGTGCTCCTCACACAAGGCAATGGCAGCCTTGTTGTCGACGTACATCACTGGAGGAGAACTAGGCCGCTCTCCCAAGTCGGTCAGCAGGTAGGTCAGCCAGCGTAGCTCCTGTGCAGCCATGGCTGTGGCGTAGATCTCAGCCTCACAACTGGAGCTGAGAACTGAAGACGAGCGAGTAGAACGCCAAGAAACTGAACCAGAGCCAAGGCTGAAGGTGTAACCCTGTGACGACCGCTGAGTAGCCTGGTCGTCAACCCAAGAAGCGTCTGAGTGCCCAGTGAGAACAACTGAGCGCCTCCCTCCAAGCACGAGCCCCATGCCTGACGTACTGCACAAGTAGCGCAGTACCCTCTTAGCAGCATCCATGTGCACCTTTCGGTGCCGACCAGGAGCCACGTAGCGAGCCAGAAGGCCAAGAGGGTACGCGAGGTCAGGACGAGTGCAAGTCATCAGGTACATGAGGCAACCAACTAGCTCTGGGTAAGGACCACTCGGCTCTACGGACTCGTCTGAAGGTGGAGCTGAGAGCGAGTGACCTGTAGCCAGAGGAGTGGCCTGTGCCGAGGACCAGGTGAAGCCGAAGCGCTGAAGGACCTGCTGCACCATGTGTGACTGAGTCAGTGTGATGGTGCGGCGTGCTCTGTCCCGGGTGATCCGCAAGCCAAGATAGCTTGTCAGCTCACCCAGGTCTGTGCACGTGTGTCTCTTCTGCAGCTCCGACTTCACGTGGGCGAGAGCCTCAGTGTCAGCAGTGGCAAAGACCAAGTCGTCGACGTACACGAGGATGTAGAACGGCGGCAGTGAAGTGTCGGTGCGCAGAAACAGCGACGGGTCAGCAGTAGAAGGCGCGAACCCAAGAGCCGCAAGTGTAGTTCTCAGTGTGTCGTGCCACTCACGTGGCGCCTGGCGGAGACCGTAGACCGGCCGCCGGAGGCTCCACTGGGTACCAGGAGGAAACGACCCAGTGAAGCCAGGAGGGCGGCGCAGCCAGATCTCCTCGTGCAGGCTGCCCTACAAGAAAGCTGTGCTGAAGTCAAGAGAGTGAAGCTCGTAGTCACGCTGAGCGGCAACGTGCAGTAGCACCCGAAGAGTGGTCATCTTCGGGGTGGGGGAGAAGGTCTGAAAGAAGTCTACTCCCTCTCACTGACTGAAGCCTCGAGCAACGTAACGAGCCTTGAAGACAGGTGGAGAACCTGGCGGCCGCTTCACCCTGAAAATCCACATGCCACTGACGATGTTCGCCCCAGGAGGGGGAACCTCGTCGACGTAAGTGCCAGTGGACTTCCAGGATGCCATCTCTGCATCCATGGCTGTCTGCCACTGAGAGGAGTACTCACCCGCGATCGCCTCAGCGTAAGAGCGCGGGGTCGGGATGTCTGGAGCATCCGGGTCTCCCTCAGGTGCAATCAGCATGGATACGAGATGAGGTACAGCGGCGGCAAAGCACTGGAACTCTTCCTGCCTGTCCTCAAGGACGTCCGTGCCAAGAGCACACTCACCCCCGACGGACGGAAGACAGACAGACTCAGACTCAGCAACAAGGCTTGCAGCGTAGTCTAGACGTCAGTGAGCAGCAAAGTCGACAAGCTCAGCAACCCAGGCAGACGCAGCAGCTGACTCAAAGGAAGGGTCAGTGACAACTGTGGCCAGGACACGCGTGAGAGTAGGACTAGCAGCACGAAGAGAGTCAGACTCCGGGTTAGCAAGGGCACGAAGGGAGGACGCAGGAGGAGAAGGCAGAGGGACACGCTGTGGAGCAGTGGAAAGACGAAGCGACATCTGGTGAGTGCCGGGGACAGCAGGAGGACGCTGACGAGGGACACGACGACCAGTGCGAGTAGCACGAACAGGTGACGCAGAACGAGACTCAGGCGACACAGGACGAGACTCAAGCTCACGATGCTCCGTAAGACCTCCTGTCGAACCAGTGTAGGGAGAAGGACCAGGAAGTGGCGAGGCAGGCGGTAACTGTGACTGCGACTGGACAGGCGGAGGACACTCTAAGGAGGGAGCAGGACAAGGAGGAGGCGGCTGACCAAGAACCTGCTGAAGGAGCGGAACGAAGTACGGCCGCGGCCGTGAAGTGCCCCCAGAACCAGCAGAGACAGCACCAGAACCCCCAGCAGCAGCTCCAACTCCCGCAGCACCACGAGCAGCTCCAGTAGTGTCAAATCCAGTACCTCCAGTAGCACCAGCTCCTGCAGCACCACCAGCCCCAGGACCAGGAGCACCACCAATAGCTCCAGCAGCTCCAGTACCTCCAGCAGCACCAGCAGCACCTCCAGTAGCTCCAGGACCTCCAGCAGCACCAGCAGCACCTCCAGTAGGACCAGTACTAGCAGCACCTCGAGCAGCTCCAGTACCTCCAAAACTAGGAGCTCCACTCCGGAGGCTGCAGCGTCGAGCGTACCACTCACGTAGCCGCTGAGGGGAGGGAGGCTCCGGCCGCGACACAGTACCCGCAGCACCACCAGCCCCAACTCCGGCAGAACCCCCAGCTCCAGTAGCCCCACGCCGGAGGCCGTAACGCTGAGAGTACCACTCACGCAGCTGCTGTGAAGAGGGAGCGCCACCAGGCTCAGCACCCTCAGGCTCAGCACCCTCAGGCTCAGCACCCCCAGTCTCAGCACCCCCAGGCTCAGCACCCCTAGTCTCAGTACCCCTAGGCTCAGCACCCCCAGGCTCAGCACCCCTAGGCTCAGCACCCTCAGTCTCAGCACCCCTAGGCTCAGCACCCTCAGTCTCAGTACCCCCAGGCTCAGCACCCGCAGTCTCAGCACCTTCAGTCTCAGCACCCGTAGCCTTAGTACCCCCAGGCACAGCACCCCCATGCTCACCACCCCCAGTCTCAGCACCCCCAGGCTCAGCACCCCTCTTAGGACCAGAGTCAACAGCTACCTCGACAGGCTCGACTGCGTCTACCTGGGAAACACCTGAGGGAGCAGGACCCTGGGGAGGGAGGGGGTCTACCGAAGGAGCACCTGGGGTGAGGAAGAGAGGCGGGGGGGGGGAGCGGAGCAGTGCGGTAGGGGAACAGACGGTAAAAGGGTACCGACTCGTCAAAAGTGACGTCATGAGAGGGGAAGACACGGCGCGAGGTGGGGTGGTAAAACTGCCAACCAGGCGCGTCGGGGACAAAGCCAAGGAAGACACAGGGCACATCGCGGGCGGAGAGCTTGTCCGCAGTGGTATCGCGGACAAAGGCACGAGCACCCCAGACCCGGAAACGCGACGCATCGCCAACCTGCCCCGTCCACAGCAGTGTGGTCGAGGTCTCTGGAGCAGAGACACGGGGCCAGAGGTTGAGCTGATGCGCAGCGTACCGGACTGCAAACGGCCATAGGAAATGGGGGGCAGCCGCATGGATCAAGGAGGTACGAGCTATCTCCATGACTAAGCCAATGCGGCGCTCAGCAACCCCATTCTGCTGTGGAGAGGCCGGAAGCGTGAACGTCTGGCGGATGCCGTGGTGGATCCAAGGGATCAGAACATCAGGGACCTCACTTGGTGCGCAAGGGGAAGACCGTGGTGTAGCGCGTGTAGTCGTCGACAACCAGCAGGAAGTACCGCTCGTGGCCCTGTCCACGGACGCGGGCTGGGCCCCACACGTCCAGGTGGAGAGTCTGCAGGGGCGCCTCTGTGGGAGGGAACGAGGAGGAGTGAGGAGCAGCGCGCTGCCGCCCCTCGACACAGGGAAGGCAGGGAGGAGCAAGCGAGGGTGGGAGGGGAGGGAGAACCCTGGGAAGACCAG